GCTCCGGCTCGCCCAGCTGTGTCCTCCGGCGCTGGATTCGCTTAGCTGCTCTGCAAGGATTCGGAGCCACTTCAGCCGCGTTTGAAAAGGTAGCAGCGCCGAGGTGCCTTTTCTTCCGTTCGTATTATTATTATTGTTGTTGTTATTGTGCAATAAGCTGTCGTTTTGGCTTGGAGGGTCGGAGAAGAACCCACGACCTCGTTACTGTGTTTAATCTAGGAATTTCAAGTGGGGTTTCTCGGAATTTAAATGTGGTTCACCGAGTTGGTAATCAAGGTGGCAGATCTTCCAACATAGACCCTTTCCGTTTTATGTAATGAGAGACCCAAAGAAGCTCGGGCTTTGCTGTGATGCATAATCTGTATTCATTCCCTCTCTCCTCTCTCTCTGTCTCTTTCGCTCGCTCTCTCGCTCTCCCCCTCTCTCCTTCTCTCCCCTTCTCCCCCTCTCCTCCTCTCCCTCTCTCCTTCATTTGTATCATTGGGAAACTCGTCCAGGGCCACTGAAAAGTCAGGAAAGGTTGAAATCGGATTTTCCACGGATTCCTACTTGCAACGTCAAATAATATCGGGAAACATCGCCACCAAACAAGTATGAGGATATTATTGTGGAGAAGCAATTAACCCCTCCCCAAACACAAGGCGCCCGGGGAAAGGTGAGGCCGGAAGGCAAGGAAGCCCTTTGGAGGAGAGCGGTCTGGGGAGCGGCTGCAGGTGGGGTCCCAGCCCCCGAGCTTCAGTACCGGCGGGGATGGACAGCGTCTCCAGCCTGGGCTGCAGCCACCGGGACCGAACTGCGCCGCCGCGGCCCCTGCTGCTGTCCTTGCCTCCGCCAGCAGCGGGGCTGCCCGCTCCTCGCATGTAAAAGGCGGCGCCTCCCCATAACCCCTCGTCCCCCCCTCTCCATCTAAGTAGAGGAAAAACAACAACGCTTCTTACCCACCGGCTACAGCGACCATTCGGGGCTCGGAGGAGTGCTCTTGTTGCACAGATTCAACTCTCGGCAGCAACTTCAAAAATAATTTTCCGTGGGGGCCTGGGAGACATGCACACAGAGGAGTGAAGTCCAAGTTCTTTGAGGCTCTGGGAAGTCATGGGCTCTGCAGCGAGGATCGAGGTGCTCAAAGGCCCCCACTTTTTGGAATAAACAATGCTCACCAGAGGAGGCCCCTGTTTTTGGATATACTGGTAGCTTTGTGAGAGGAGGTTCCAGAACTATTCAGAATCCTACGTTAGAGAAACGAACAGGCATCTAATTCTTTCAGTGGGCAGGTAAGTGATAAGACTTTTTTTTTTCCTGCTTATTTACAATCTACTTTTTCAAGAATTTCGCAGAAAGGTATATACAGTATTATTTTTCCTTGTGGATGAAGTAGATAAACAATTTGATTTTTAAATAATTGTTCCTGCATCATGGTCTTTGAAAATCTCTTGCCTAATAACCTAGTTGAATATTTTTATGGTTGAATATTTTATTTCTCTGAAGTCCCTTATATGACAAGACTATTAAAGAATTTATATTGGGTTATATAATTACAGTAAAGCCTTTCTTGTGTATTTTTTATATTCCTGGCCTAACATACTTTTAAATTTATGTATGTCTTGGTTTTCCAAAATCTGGACTTTCATTAAGAGGGTTTTTTTTTTAATCTTGTCTGTGTTACATAGTCTGAAAAATTCAAAAAGTGTCAAGTAGAGATTGTTGAACCACTCCGTCTATTATTTTTTAGATGATTATAATTTGCCAGACCATGCACAGGAACAAACGCATGTATGCATACACACCTGATTCCTCTTTCCACCTGAACACCCAAGTACTAGTATACCTACACCTGTAGAATCTTAACTAAAAAATACACACATTTTTACTTAGTGTGGTCTTTCCTGCCTTTCAAAGCTTAAGACTGCTTGCTCAAAATTTGCCAGAAAGCAGAAAGTGAGAAGCTTCAATGTGCCTTTTAAAAATATATATATATTTTTTACATATATATATATAGGGAGAGGAAGAGAGAGGTGGAAATATCAGTGATGAAAGAGAAACATTGATCGGCTGCCTCCTTATGAACAGAAATACATATCTATCAACAAGTGAATCTAAAAATCAAGTGAATAAAAAATCTGATAACAGAGTAAACTGGTGAATATAATAGAACCAGGGGCATGGAAAGGAAGCGGACTGACAATTCTTGGGGGGAAAGGGGTTTGATTGGCTGCCTCCAGCAACCCCTACTGGGGTTCAGGCCAGCAACTCCGGCATGTGCCCTTTTCCAGAATCAAACCCAGGACCCTTCAGTCTGCAGGCTGACACTTTATCCACAGAGCCAAACCAGCTAGGGCTTTAGTGTGCCTTTTTGGAGAGTTGGGTTTTTATAGCATTCTGACTTAGTTCTATAAAATAAACCTGTCACTAAAATCCAGAAACGTGATAGAGGAAAATAGGTTCTTAACAGACCATAAACTTTAAAGTGTTCATTAAATCTGTTTTTGTTGATTCTGATTTCTGGAGTCTTCCCCTAGAGCTTTAAAACTACCATCTTTCATAGTGACCTTGATAAGCATTCGGCTTTAATAAAAAGGGCTCATTTAGGTAAGGGAAGTTACACAGATTTATAGCCTTCGCCAGACACTTCACTAAGGGCTCCATCCATTCTAGTGCACACATTCAGTCCTGTGGAGAGTGCTGACTTGCAAGGCTGGACTTTGACAATCATGGAAGCACATATGATGCTATATGCATAACCAACACTGTGGAAAGAGTTTGCCCTTGTGAAAAACTACAGTTCCTTAGTTTTTTCTTTTAATTTGTAGGTCACAGCTAGACGATAATGAAGTACTCCTAATACATACCCATACATACATACCTTCCTTCTCAGTTTCAGCACAAAAATCCTGAGCCAGGAAAGATGGTATTTGTTGGTAGGTTGATGGACCCTTGTTTTGAATTGGCCGAGAGTAGCAATTACACTCGGAGGGAAGAAAACCCTTCTTCACTGGCGCTTACCATTGACCATGAGCCTGCTTGTTTAGCAGAAAGGGAGCCGGGACGTCTGTGTCATTGAGCTGTTTGGGGACTGTATTGCTGTTTATAGGTCAGAAATGACCATCGCCTTAGCCAGTCTGGCTCAGTGGAAAGAGCATCGGCCTGCAGACTGAAGGGTTCCAGGTTCGATTCCAGTCAAGGACACATGCCCGGGTTGCAGGCTCAATCCCCAGGGAGGGGCCATGAGGGAGGCAACCGATCAATGATTCTCTCTCATCATTGATGTTTCTATCTTTCTCTCCTTCTTCCTTCCTCTCTGAAATAAATAAAAATGAAAATAAAAAAGAGAAATGACCATCATCTGAGGATTTGGATTCCTTCCTAGGAGACCTACGATGTGCTCCTAACACAACATGATTTTTTTTTTCTAACCCGAGAGATGTGAAAATGAAACTGCCTCATGAAATAATTAATGATGCTTTAAGAGACGTATGGTGTATTGTTAGACCGATATTTTGGTCGTCAATTAACATAGACTCTCGTGGCTGGCACCTTGTAAAAATGAAAGCAGAAAATGAATTCTAGGAAGCATCCTGTGGGTATGTGGCCACAGTTACCCTCTAGTGGTACAGAGGGCAGGCTCCCCCGATGTGCGTGTGAAACAGCACGAAGTAAAAGTTATCTTTGCCTAAATCCTTTGGAGATTTAATCATAGAAAGTAATAACTCGAATTCACCCTTCCAAGCTCAGGCAAAGTGCACGGAAGCTCATAACAATCATTATCTTTGCAGAAATGCCATTACCATCGAGATAGAGTTTGGTAAATCAATTTAATGCCCACCTAGATGCTAATCTCTAAGTGCTTCCTCCCCAGGAAGAGTGGGTGTTAATGTTAGCAAACCTTTCTTTGCACACAATCACTTGTGTTTAAAGTTAAATCAGTGCTTTATTCCAGGATATTCAGATCCCAGAAACTGCTTGATAGTTATTGTGGCCCAGTAGGGAAAACGGACCATTGAGGTCTGCAGAGAACTAGACACAGTAGTTCAGCATCCCCTCCCCGGGTGAGGGCAGTGGTGGTGCTGACACTGCTTTGTTGGTCAGAGGTTGTTGACCTTTGCTTACACTTGAGACGCAAAGGAGAAAGGTGACATAGGATTGCATAAACAGGAAATGTAGAGTGTATATAGGACCAGAGGATAATCAGAAATGAGCCCTGGGATCCGTCCAATTGCTTTTATTTATTTATTTTTTGACAAGAAATGGTGTGCGGCAAGTGGGACAGGGAGTTCTGGCCTGAATCTTTAAGTTATAAAATATTATAAAAACAACCTCTTTTTTTAACATTTTGTGTAGATCATCTGAATATTAACTGGATATTTCTAATGTCATTACTGAGGCCTACAGATCATATTGGATTTCAATGTCCAGAGTTTGCCTTAGAAATTTTGGGGTGATTTGAATCAAGGTATGTGTATATCAAAAAATATAAAAGTATGAGACGATAATTACTAGAATTGAAGAAGGCCCTCAGTAACTGACTTTTATTTTTATGTCATTTTAAAGATGTAAATTACTCACCCAATTCTAACGAGCAAGGTAAAAGCTACTAGTGAAGAAGAGCGTGTTGTAACCTGGAAATGATTTTTATAGTCGTCTCGGCTCCCCAGAACCCTGTACAATGATGAGTCATAGAATAGCACTCAAATGCTATTCTTATTTACTATTTTCTTCTTGTTTAGAGCTCCCCAGAACCCTGTACAATGAGTCATAGAATAGCACTCAAGTGCTATTCTTATTTACTATTTTCTTCTTGTTTAGTGAAGGTGAATGAGTTATACAGGGAGTGTGCTCAAAGAGACAACATGCTGTGGTGTAAAATATGTTACCTGTCATGATGTAGCAGAACGAGTGCTGTTTGACAGTCCAGACATTAGGATTCTTGAATGCTTGTCATTAGATCTTAGGCAAGTCACTGGACCCAATAAACTTAACTTTTCTTCTGTAAAAGGGGATGCTGTCCATACGGATTAAGGTACAATTCTCATATGACATCTAGATCTTTGTGGGATGAATGCGTGAATGCCTACTGTGTGAAATATTGGAAAGTCCCAATAGAATGCTTTTGAAAGTGTTTTGGAAACGGAAGTGCTAGATCTTTAAGTTATAAGTAATCTTTAGTAGCATTCATTTATTCCCTCATCAAAAACCTCCCTACTGATTACAATATGTGGGCATGCCTCTTCTATTTAAGAACTCTCAGTATAGATAATATGTTTTCTGTGCTGATTCGGCATCAATTTTCTTATGTCTCTTAATGGATTACATATTTTAATGCAGGTAGAAGCTGGTTTAAGAATATTTATTATTGCCCACCGGTGTGGCTCAGTGGTTGAGCGTCAGCCTATGAACCAGGAGGCCACGGTTTGATTTCCCGTAAGGGCACATGCCTGGGTTGCAGGCTTAATCCCCAGTAGGGGGCTTGCAGGAGGCAGCCAATCAATGATTCGCTCTCTCTCTCCTTCTCCCTTCTTCTCTTCCCACCAGTTACATCATTTTGGGGAATACTGTCAAAAATACTGACAACTGCTAAAAATTTTAAAAGAAATTGTTGTGAGAAATAAGCAACTCTATTACACACACTTTAATTATTTGTGTGAAAATTAAATTTCTTGAAATTTTATCCAAATTTTATTTTTCTGAACTTGTTTTCTTGCACATGCATAAAAGAAGTATAATCATAGAATAATCGATTGAATGAAGCCTAGAAATCATTTACATTATTCACACAAGCATTGAAAACCCCCAATAGGCTATTTTTTCCCCCTGAACAGAATTAACAAATCTCAAAATGAATGCAGTTTCTTCTCTCATTGTGTAGTTCCGGAATATTTTCATAAGAACTTTACTTCAGTGTGCTTAGCTGGGCCAAATCATTATGCTTTTACAGGTTTATCAAGGATACTTATTAAGAGATTGAACCCTAGGAGTAAGATGGCACTCAAATAGAAGTTCTGAGCATCAATCTAAAACTATAACTATTCTTAATGAACACAAAGGCTAAACACTTGGAACAAGGCTGACATGTGGCCAAAAAAATATTTGGCATCTGATGAATTACTTCGCATTTCTTTTTGTAAAGAATAAAAGCTTTCTGGCTTCTAACAAAGAGTTTGTGAGTGTATGGCAGTATTTTGAACAAGGAGATCATTTATAAATGCAGTCTTTATATTTAGAAAATGATTACGGGATGCAGCTGCAGGTTTTAATGACTTTTAATAAAGCACGTTAT